ATTATATTTTTTAAACATAATTATTTATTATATTTTTATATTATATTTAAAAAATTATATTTTTCATTTTTTAATAAATTAAAAAATATAATAATTAATTAAAATAAAAAGATACAATATTAATAATTAAGGATATGATAATAATATCATCGAGTGAATGGTATATATAATGTTACAGTAAATCTCTAAATAAAAATAATTAATTATAAAAAATTATATCATGTTATAAAATTATACTGTTATATACTGTTACGTGACATTATAACTCTATCATTTTTATATCTAAATCCATGGTTTTCAATCTTAAACCTTGAACAAAGTCATCCCAATGGACCCCGCAAATCTAAAAAAACCTAACAAACTCCCTTTTGCACCTTCACGTTGGTTTCATTTAATTTATAATAATTATAGGGCACTGTAACCTCTTCATGGAGGGAGGGAAACATATATCCTTTCAGCCTCGAGTAAGAGTAAGTTTTGTTTTCACTAGAGCAAAGAGCTGTTGACTATTTTAGAAGAGCGTACATAATTTGATACCGGCATGGATCACTACCCGGTAAACGGTACCCAGGCCCAAAGGTACAATATACAAGTTCATCACATAAGTAGCTGCTACTTCTTAACATCTCCAAGGTGTTTTTTTTTTTTAATAATAGATTGCATAATAAAAAAACTTAATCGATATTCATTCACATATTATATAATTTAAATTTAAAATATTTTATTTTTATAAAAAGAAATTATCAAAACTCCCAACACATAGCCGAACCAATTCGAGTGAGGGCGAGGGAAGAGGACAATTATCCGCCTCGAATATATCTTTTCGATATGAACCAAATTGAATGAGCCATAGACCAAGCCGGGGAGCTGGCCATCAAATCATTAATGTAGATAAATGTAGAGCCTAATATTGGTTTATCCCTGGAAATTATTGGAATTCTCCTATATAAACAATGCCTACAAACTCCAAAGAAACAGTAATCCCCCATTTTTCTCAAAATCTTTTTCAAAGCAGAAAACAAAGTATGGCTAATTCGAAGAAGTAAAGCTACTTGGCATGTGGGCAAGCCCTTTTACCCGAAGAGTGGAATTAGCCCTGAAGCGCAAAGGAATCCCGTATGAATACATTGAAGAAGATATCTCCAACAAGAGTCCTTTGCTCCTCAAGTACAACTCCATTCATAAGAAAGTCCCTGTGCTTGTTCACAACCAAAAACCAATCATAGATTCTTTAGTAATTCTCGAGGACATTGATGAGACATGGAAAAACAATCCTATCTTACCCCAAGATCCCCATGACAGAGCCCTTTCTCGTTTTTGGGCAAAATTCATTGATGAGAAGGTAAAGATAGAATAGTTTCCAAAAGTACCTATTTATCAATTTAAATTAACCATTTAACTATATGTTGCACATGTTTTTGACCATCTAGGTTGAGGATTACTCTTAGATCTATCTTTGCAGCTGCTGGTGACAGCAAGGAAGATTAGAAGTGATCAGGAGGTTGTTGAAGAAGTTATCGAGCAGCTGAAGATCCTAGAAAATGAGCTTACAGGAAAAGAATTCTTTGGAGGAGATAAGATTGGAAACTTGGATATTGTGGCGAATGTTTTAGCATTTTGGTTCATAGTCGGACAGGAGTTTTCCGGAGTTAAGGCGCTAACGTAAGAGAAGTTTCCGATGATATATAAATGGATCGGAAAGCTTAAGGAGACTGATGCAGCCATGGACAGCCAGCCTCCACTAGATAAATATCATCAGTTTATGACTGAACAGCTTGAAGCCTCTAAAGGAGCTTCCAAATGAGGAGCCTTTGAAATCAATTACCTACAATTTTCTGAATTAATTTCACTTTGTGGAAATCTTCCCTCTTCTCCAATCACCAGAACTTTAAATTTCTTCGTTTGGACTTTTTAGCTTTAAATCTAATTAATAATCAAGTATCAAGGTGTCCATATCTTCCAAATACACAAAAGCATTCTATAGATTCTATAACGGGATGAGAGGTAGAGAGCGAGCAAGTTTCTACGGCAGGGGAGCACGAGGTGGATGGACGGCACAGCAGTGGGAGAGCTCCAATCTCAGAAGATGGAACCGACCTGAGCAAGACGGAAAAGCAGCACGTCTGAAAAGTTCATGGAAGTCAGACATTCGGGGAATAGACAGACGGGTATTCAACCAAACAACAGCGTTCTTCTTCACCAACTTCCCTGAGGATTGGAGGCAAGAAAACATGTGGCAAACCTTCTGCAAGTATGGTAGAGTCCTGGATATTTACAGCCCGATGAGGAAGAATAAGATGGGCAGCAGATTCGGATTCGTCAGATATCTGGATGTCAGAAATGAGAGGGAGCTAGAGATTCAGCTGGACCAGATTCGAGTGGGAAGCTTTAAACTTTGGGTAAACAGACCCAGGTTCGAAGATAAAAGAAGTTTTGTGAAGTATAATCAGGGGTCCAATGATCACTCAAGAAACAGGGAGAGGGACCAAGGAACCAGTGGGCATAGAACTTTTGCTGAAGTGGTGAAAGGAAATAGCGAGCACGATCCCAAGCCTACGAAGGGTAAAGAGCCGAAGGGTCAGTCAGAACACTTACAAGCTCGGAACAAGAATGCTGTCAATATTCCGGCACAAGTCTGGAAAGCTAAGGATAAGGACCAGGCAAGAGCTGGCATGAGCTTTACCGTGCAGGAGGAGGAGTTCGCTTGGCTGCAGGGTTGTTACGTAGGATCCGTCCATTCAATAGAATCAATTCCAACTCTGCAAGAAAAATTCTTTATGGAGGGCTATTTTTCTTGTAGAGTGAGAGCCATGGGGGGGCGCTTAGTTCTATTAGAAGGGGGTGATAAGGAGGAGATTAAGGATTTAATAGAGCTTGCTCCAGATTGGATGGGACAATGGTTTAAGGATATTAAACCATGGAACTCCTCAATTGTGGCTAAAGAGAGATTTGTTTGGCTTCGTTGTCAAGGGGTTCCAGTTCATGCATGGGGACACAATTTTTTTGAAGCAATTGGCTCGGTGTGGGGGAACTTTATTACCTTAGATGACAGCACCAGCAAAAAACAGAGGTTCGACATAGGAAGAATGCTAATTTCAACCCCTGTGATGGACTTTATCTCAAAAAGCATCACTGCTCGGGTTAATGGCGAACCTTATACAATCAAAGTTATGGAGGAAGAAGCTACCAACGGTATATTCTCCATGAAATCCGATCATGTGTTCAATCTTTTGTCGGATTCGGAGAAGGGCTCCTCGGAATCCTGGTCTTTAAACAATGATTCCGAAGTTGATCTTAGTGGGGCGTCGGTTGGCTGCAAGAACACACCCACCGGAGAGAAGGAAGAAGAAGAAGCGGTAGCTGGAAGGTTGGAGCCGAGGGGAGCGGATTTCGAGGAGGTACAATCTCCTTACCGTTGGGTGAAGGAGCGCCAAATTTCAAATGGAGACAATGTGTTGCCATTGAAAGACACCACATTTAATGCTGAAGTTTCCCAAGACACGCATTAGATCGGTGAAGATGGCAAAATCCAAGCTAATCGCCTCAGCTACCAGGGAGAATCCAAAGTTGATTCGGAGTCTGTGCTGGGTAACCTGGCTATAAAAACCAGCAATAAAATGAATATTCAAAGTAGAAGGGAACAGACCGAGCCCCATGTATTGTCTAGCCCAGTAGAGCACAAGGGTACTTGGGCCAAAAATAAATTCAGGCCCCTTAATGGACTCACATCCAAGTCAGATGAGTCTGATTATAGTAATGTGGTGGCAAATAGCTTTGTAGAGGATACTGGGCCCAATCAACCTCCTAATGAAATGTCTAAGTCCGGGACAACTCCAATAGTAGCTAACACGGGAAAACAGAGCAAATCACCCTCATTGGAGCGTTTATCTACAGGACAGAAGCTTGACTTCTGGAAAGGCTTTGAGTCCGAATCAGGGGAAGAACACGCATGGATGGGCAGAAATTTGAAGAAACCGAAGCATAGAAGAAGGAAGAAAACCAGATCGTGTCGATCCATCTACATGGGAGAAAACAAGAAAGAAGAACAGGGGCTTATTCCGAAGGGCAGAAAACAATCAACCAAGGAGAAAGGAAAAGAGGAATTGGTACCGAAATTCTCACCTGGATCCAGAAATCAAGCAGCTGGTGAATCACTTAATGACAGCGGCATTGAGAACAGAAATATATGCCTGAGGAAAGCTACGGATCAGAATATGGCGGAAAGAATATGGGCTTTCGCTAAAGAGATCGGAGTCGGTGACAGGGGGAATGAAAATGAGGTGATTAGGAGACTAGAAGACATGGAGAATCGAGATAGAGAGATGTGCAGAATGCTTAAGGTTAGTAATGTTATTTCAGAGGGTTTTGGTTGTACAAATTTATCATGATTTTCTTGTCGTTAAACATAAGAGGCCTGGGGGGGAAGGGTAAGAAAAGTGGAATTAGAGAAATTATTGCTTCTGAAAAAGTAGAGTTTATATCTATTCAAGAATCGAAGATGATGGAGGTTGATTTTCAGTTGTGTAAATCTGTGTGGGGGGCTGATAATTTCGACTGGGTAGCTAAACCGTCTAGAGGAACATCCGGAGGGCTTATCTGCATTTGGAATAATGATATTTTGAAGAAAGAAAAAATAATAGAAGGGGAGAATTTTGTGGGGGTTCACGGTTTTTGGGGGGCTTCCAAAATACCTGTTTATATCTTAAACGTATATGCACCTTGCGACATGATGGGAAAAAGAACCTGTTGGTCCAGCATTAAGGAGCCGAAGATGGAAGCAGAAGGAAAGTGGTGCCTCATGGGTGATTTTAATGCCATAAGAAATCAACAGGAATGGAATGGAGGGAGAACCAGCAGAAGGGATATGGCAGATTTTGATGAATTTATTAGAGAATGCGGCCTCGTAGATCTCCCCTTAATTGGCAGAAAATTCACATGGTACCAAGCAAATGGAGCTGTTATGAGCAGACTGGACAGATTTTTACTGTCTGAAGAGTGGTGCGAAAAATGGGATGACATGAAACAATGGGGTTTGAAGCGCACAATATCGGATCATTGCCCAATTTTGATGAAAAATCAAATAGTTGATTGGGGCCCAAAACCATTCCGATTTTTTGATATGTGGTTGGAAAACCCGGAGTGCAAAGAACTAATGACAAAGACATGGAACTCAACAGTGGTCTCTGGATGGCATGGTTTTCAATTAAAAGAAAAGCTCAAGGCAACGAAGATAGTTTTGAAAGAGTGGAGCAAAAATAAGGCTTCTGAGATAGACCTCAAAATTAATATGTGTAAAGAAGATATTGCTGCCATTGATTTGAAAGGGGAGGAGGCAGCCATTAATGAACAAGAGGTGCAACTGAGGAGGAACAGCTTCCTGGACTTATGGAAACTTCAGAATATGAAAGAGAGTATGTGGCGTCAGAAGGCTAGGAAGACTTGGATCAGAAATGGTGATGCAAACACTAAATTCTTCCACAGATGCGTCAAAGGAAGAAGGAGACGGAATGAAATAGTTGGCATACAAGTGGGGGATAATTATATGGAACAGGTTAATGAAATCAAAGAAGGGGTGGCAAACCATTTTGAGAATCTGTTCAAAGAAGACAAGTGGCAACGTCCCCACCTTGACGGAATCCCTTTTAAGAAGATCTCAACTGAAGACAATCGCTCATTGGTCGCCCTTTTCAGTGAAGATGAAGTAAAAAGAGCAGTGTGGAGTTGTGGAAGCTCAAAAGCACCGGGACCGGACGGTTTCAATTTCAAGTTTATAAGAGAAATGTGGGAAACAATTAAAAGTAGTGTAATGGGGTTCATTGATGACTTTCACAGAAATGGAAAATTGGATAGAGGTGTTAATAGCTCATTCATTGTGTTGATACCCAAAGTTACTAATCCACAGAAAATAGAGGAGTTCAGGCCCATATCCTTAATTGGCGTCATGTATAAGGTCATAGCGAAGCTCCTTGCTAACAGAATCAGCTTAGTATTGGACAACGTCATTGGAGAAAGTCAATCAGCATTCATCAGGGGTAGACATATGGTGGACAGCATAGTGATTGCCAACGAAACAATTGATGAAGCAAAGAGAAAAAAGATGGCTAGCTTCATGTTCAAAATGGATTTCGAGAAGGCCTACGATAAAGTATGCTGGGATTTCCTGGATAACATGATGATGAGAATGGATTTTGATCCTAAATGGAGAAGGTGGATCACAGCATGTCTGGAGTCTGCAGAGATGTCAATCCTAATTAATGGCAGCACTACCAGGCAATTTAAAAGTAGCCGAGGGCTGAGACAAGGCGACCCACTCTCACCCTATTTATTTCTACTGGTGGCAGAAGGCTTAAATGGCATTATCTCCTCTGCAATCAATCATGGGCTCTTCGAAGGAATTGACATTGGCAATGGAGGTTTGAAAGTGTCTCATCTACAGTTCGCCGATGATTCGATTCTATTCGGCAAGGCTGTGGAGAGGAATATCTGGGCAGCAAAGAGGAATATCTGGGCAGCAAAGAGTATTATGAGAATTTTCGAGTTGGTATCGGGACTGAAGATTAATTTTGTGAAAAGCCAACTCTTCAGTTTAAATGTCTCTGATGAATGGAAGTCAAAAATAGCCCACATCTTGCACTGTAAGCAAGGAGCATTCCCCTGCAGATATTTAGGGGTACCTATTGGCAGCAACAATAAAAGCATTGCTCTATGGAAGCCTCTGATCAAGACTTTTGAGAAGAAGTTGAGCCAATGGAAAGGCCGTTTTCTCTCTTTCGGTGGTAGGATAACGCTCCTTAATGCAGTGCTGACCAGCCTTCCGGTGTTTTCCATGTCCGTGCACCTGCTCCCAAGAGGTTTGATCCTTTCCTTAGATAAAATTCGTAGGAATTTTTTATGGGGAGGCGGGGAGAACAAGAGGAAAATTAACTGGGTGGCATGGGATAAAGTCTGTAAAAGTAAAAAGGAGGGCGGACTAGGGGTCAAAGATCTTAGAAATTTCAACTTCGCTTTGTTGGGGAAATGGTGGAGTAGACTTGCTAGAGATGATGAGGGGCTGGTTTATAAGGTCATTCATCACAAATATGGCAGGCCAGAGGGTAGCTAGATTGAATGGGTTAATGGGAATGGCCATAGGGGGTCTATGTGGTGGAGGAACACTTGTAGAATCAACCATACTGATCCTTGTAACACGGGATGGTTGTCAGGGGGGTTTAAACTGAATGTGGGAGAGGGTTGTTCAGTCAATTTCTGGAAAGACAAATGGACAGGGGACCAACCCCTTGCTAACAGATTTCCTAGACTTTTTCTGGTTTCTACAGACAAAGATAAAAGAATTTCTCAGATGGGAACATGGAAGGAAGATAAATGGCAATGGACATTACATTGGAGACGGTCACTATATGTGTGGGAGGAAGACAAGCTTACAGAGATGCTGGAGATCATTAACAGCACATTGCCAGTAAAAGGCCAAAAAGACTGTTGGGAGTGGAGGCACAATAAGGAAGGAGAATATTCCGTCAAAACAGCTTATGGCTTGCTATCCGGCAACAGTAACAGCAACACATCGCAGACATATGCAAGAGTATGGAATAAACTCATCCCCACAAAAATTTGTGCATTTGGGTGGCAGGTCCTGCAGGATAGAATTCCCACAAAACTGAACTTGTACAAGAGAGGAATCATTCTTGACGCGAATCAAACGATGTGCAGCTTATGTGGAACCAATATTGAAGACACTAACCATCTCTTCATTCACTGTAGTGTGGCCTACTTGGTAAGAAGCAAATGTGCACAATGGTGGAGATTAGTAATGGTTCACCCTATGTCCTGCCAAGAGGACTTCCAGCAACACCGTCATCCATACAAAAATCCTCTAATAAGAACAGGGTGGGATGTAGTTTGGTTCTCCATCATGTGGTCCCTTTGGATGGCTAGAAATGCAAAAATCTTCAAAAATCAAGAGTGGGATGTGGATAGAATTGTTGAACTGGTGCAGTTAAGATCCTTTAATTGGATTAAGGGCAGGACTACGGGTTACTCTTTCAATCTGTACGAGTGGATGCTAGAACCAGCCCTAAGCCTCAAAGACAAAAGAGCTCAGCTGAAATCCAAATATTAGTGGGAGTGCAGTTTTCCTGGAAAGCATCATTGAGCAGGTATTTTACTGTAGTTGTGTGTCCTAGGCCATATGTTGGTTTAGTCAAGCTGTAGTAAATACATGCTCAATGTCTCTGCATGTCAGTGGGTTGTTTTGTGGAAGTTTTTTTGATGATCTGAACAGGGTGTTCGTAGTAATCTGCATCGGAGGTCATAAATTCGTCTCGGGTCTAGTGTCGACACTTTGTTTTGAGTGTCGACACTTTTGGACAGTTTTTTAGTCCGCTCTTGCAAGTTTAGGCCTCTCAAATATTGTTGTTTTATGGGTTTGGGGTACCCCTTGTACTCCGATTATAAATATATATCATTTTGCTGTTCAAAAAAAAAAAAAATCAAGTATCAAGGTGTAAGATAGGATTTAAGTTTTGTGATCAATCTTCAAGAAATTAAATTAAAAAAAATTTTATTTCTAACTAATTAACCCAAAAAAAAGGGATAATATTTCTAACTAATTAAGTTAATTCAGCTGAGGTGTCACAATAATATTCACAAAATTTGTTAAATGAAAATAAGCGGTGCATCAATTCAAACTCGTGACAAATGTAATATAAATAGAGGAAAACAATTTTGAAATAATTTTTTTATATCATCTTATGGTATAACTTAACGTGTTACTTAAATAATTGATTTTTTTATTCATATGAGACTTATATTATTGAATGCATCTACTCATTTAATGATAAATAAAAATTTTATTAAAAAGTAATATAAAAATATTATCCTAATAGGATGTTTCCCTTGTTAATTTCTTAGTCAACAACCAGATAATGAGCAATCTAATATCAAAAAAAAAATATATATATATATATATATTGAGCTTAATCAGTTTTTCCACAACTCACAAACAATTAAGGATCAAATTAAGGGGAAAAGAAAATTAAAA